CGTAACTGTCTCTTGTAGATGGTACCTCGTTTTCGGAAAAACTTACAGCTGAGGACTCCTTTGCCTCCCAGGATAGTGGGTAATGTTCGTAGGCCATCCAATTCTGCAAAAAGAAGAATAAATATCATAGACTTCTTGACGGTGTGATAACTGTTTTGTAATTGCTATGTTCAACATACCACTAAAAGTTTATCGTGAAGGCCGTCGAATGTCGTCGATTCCTGTAAACAAACTTCAAAATGATTCGTGGAGACGTTCGCAATCCAAATATTCATGGCGTCCTGAACTTGGTTTAGAGTTCCATGCTGTACTGTCACGTAAATTTTGGGTATCGATGTAAACGGCTTATTTAAAAGAAATAAAAAAGAAAAATAGATGAGTGAACAAAGATAAAAAACTAGACTAGATTATGAACTCAGCGACTGTCATGCTTTAAGTATTCATACCTGAGTGAATTTAACCCGATTGCATTGTGATCCAGTTGTGAAAAGACTAAAAATAGCATGGCCATGAGATACTCCCGTTTGTGATCCTTGGAATGCAAACCAATCAATCATAGTGCTGTTACTCTCTAAGTTTTTGCCACTTTGTACGAGACAGGCCTTGAAACGGCTCGTTGTAACATCTTCGATCCAAATGAAAGCTATATCATGGATCCCTGATGATTTATTTCCATGATTAATTGAAGCAAATACTCTGACGGGAGTTCCATCTCCTGAGAATTTGCTGCTGAATGACACGTACTGGCAAGTTAGATCACCATTTCTCACCTGCATGTCAATCTTACCCCTCTGAACACCTAAAATGGCGGAAAGAGAATTTTATTTTTAATCAGAATTAGCAAAAATGCGAGTGCTGTGTTGAAGGGATTACACTTAAGATAGAGGGCTCCAAAAAAAATCCAATCATTACGTCTAAACACTGAAATGGGGAAAATGTGAGAGTTGAAAACTGTGTATTTTTTCAATTATTAAGCACGACCCTTGACTAGGTCTAACCTAGATTAGTATCTCAAATTTTGTTTGTGGTGAGGCTTTGGAACGTGACTCAATCTATCTTCAGAAAACTGATCTATGAAAGGGTGATGGAAAGCAAGTTTGCCCGTTGTTTGTTTTCTCTGTAAATTAATTTTTTTAATTCGTTTTCTCCGATTTCACTGAAAGCAAATTAATATAAGACAAAACCACAAAAGTCAATCAATTACGAAAGTCAACGACATTTTTTTCTAGATTACGCTAAAACTGCAATGGGGTCTTGCGCTCGACTGAAGCAGATGTTGTTGTTGTTATTGGTTTTTTTTCATCGGAAATATGAGTAAAATAAGAGTATGTTAGGAGTGCAGTAATTAGCACACCACACATCTCAAGCTAAAACTGAAGTCGGTTCTTGCACTCTATAAAGCAGCTGTTTTGTTTTGCTTTGTTTTGTTGTTGTTGTTGTTGTTTTTTATATCGGTAATATTAGTAAAACGTGAGAATATTACGGGTGCTTAACTGATAGTCAGTGAGGATAGTTTGAGAGGTTTCAGGACCTTTCGATAGGAATCGTTTGAACAAATCGAATATTGAAAATTAAAAATACCTTTGGTGACGCTGTTTTGCATCAAGCAAACCAAAAGCGCTAGAAGAAATCCTTTTTCTATGAAGGAGATCATGAATTTATGATTAAGAGGGAAATGGTACTGCAACTCCAACAGCCAAGATGAGATTGATTTCAAAGCTGCCAAACAAGTGCGGTTTTAAAGGCTTTGTGATGAGATCATTCCACGACGGTGTCAATTACAAATAAACAGAGAGTTACAATCAACTTATGTAGTTTGTTGCCTTATAAAATATTATTCTAATCCAAAGGGGGAATGGACCACAACTTTAAGTAAGCTGCGTTAATTGATTCTTACAGAGAAAACAAAGGTACACAATAGTATATTTTTGTTTTCTTTTTGTTTCCCTAAGTAATGAACACACGGATAAATATAGTTAGCCTGGTGTTTGTACGAAAAACAAATTCTTAGCAGCTCGCCTAGCTCTTAAGGCAGCGCTACTCCTACAGTTTTACCCCAAAATGAAACAATTTCATATTAGGAAAAATGCTCCGAAACATTCTCTGACAACCTAACAAAGGCTTTCCGCCAGATTTCGTCCCTTTCAAAAAGGGAAATTGAGTGGCAAAACTTCAAGGCATTGAAGGCACATTTTAACCTGTCGGAACAGGAAATACAATAGAGAAAAGTAAACAAAAGATTCAAAAGCAAAATAAAGGTATTGGCTTTCCTACAATTATTTTCCTTTTATTGTACAGAAAATTTCTTAAAGAAACAAAGTTTCAAATTGTTTAATGCACGTTCCAACCTGCTTCAGCCAAGAAAAACATCAAGAATTTACAAGACAAGTACAGACACAGGAATTCCTTGGTATCAAAGTGCAATTGCATCTTGTTCTAGATCTTTGACAGCAATCGTCATATTAGCCTAACCCAGCAATTTTTTCGGCGCTCTTTTTCAATTTGAGATTAGAAATTTTCAACTTACAAATATATTTGAGCTAACTTGGCAAGTAAATAAAATTGTTTTCCGAAAAGTTAATTCTGTTATTTTGTTCATGTTACTTTAGTTAAAGGGTTGTTAGCATGGTCTTTTTAACAAAAAAATTAAGAAAGAATTATGGTCTGTCATCCCATGAGTTGGGAGACATCCGGTTTAGCAAGCAGACGCTTTTTTCCCCACTATGCCCAGGATGCAAATGCATTAAATGAATAACGATATCAATCTTAAAATGAATCATATCCTTTACCCTGCAGTCGTTTTAGAACGTTTTCAGCTCTAAAGCATCCGATCCCAGATATTCACCGATAGCCGTGAATTGGCCAAGGTTTTGAACCGCAAGCCGTATAAGCCATCACCCCGTTGACGCCCTCTAATTTCTCTCTTTTTGTATTGATCCGAATGAGCTAACACATTTACGAGCATATTTTTGGGCCAAATGAAGGCTATATTGTTTCTTATCCTTCAAATATTTCTGCAACGCGCGCGAAAAATTTACGAACAGCTTACTTTTCATAGTGTCAAAATAGATAACTATGTCAACATTAAATGAATTTTTTCAGGCCTTATTTCCACTACCGCTCAGGTAGTGGAAATTACTGCGAAGATTGCTTTCATATTCACGTCTTTATCGCCAGTTCACATATACGGTTTTCATTTATTTTTCTCACAGAGGGTACGGCAACTAATCCTGCAATATGGGTGGCTCTTAGTGTCGTCCGGATCTTTTCATCTCTGCCCACGAGCACGGTAACGCTTTCGTGAGTTTCCTAGAACACACTTAGCTTTGTTGCCGTTTTTCTTAAATATATATATTTTTTTGCCGGCTGGGCAGTATGTTCAAGCAAAGTATTTTATAAGTAAATCAAGTCGATTAATTCCTCTCTTTTCTTTCTCTCAAATCACTATGTTTGCCAGCAAGAACTTGTTCTCGAAATGAATTTGTGGTAGCAAATGTGTCTTTTAAGGAGTTGACACGTGGCCTAAGATAAGTTTACGGTTAATTTTAATCCTTCTCAAAACGTAACTCAGAGAGTTAAAATTTTGAGATACTTGTGTTTGCAACGATGTCACAATAGCCTCTACGGGCTTGCGCAGTGCGATAAGAACTTATATCTTGGATGCATGCGCACGAGTAAGGTTATGCATTTTTGCAATGGTCATCTTACAGTCACATTGAAATCGTTGTGTTCAATTGAATAAATCGATGGAACTTTCATTCATTTGATATCTAAATTCTCTCAAACAATTTTTGGAACGGTGAGCAAAGTTTTCAGTCTTGTAAAAACACGACAAATACTTTCTCGGTAAGTCTTCGCAAGTTTGTTCAATTTGATCATTTGTACAGTAACTGCATAACAAAAACCGAATTAATTCAAGGAAAAAGAGCCGCATTAAATTCCCCTTGGGTCTCGTTAAATTTTCTCATTTGATTTTGGTGTTTTTGAGAAAAGAGGTCAGATTTACATGCGCCATTGCAGCAAACAAACGAGCAAACTCCCACAACTTCAAAACTTATCGTTTAAGTTACCTACAATAACTTTCTTTGCCATTTACTGTCTGAGCAGAGGTACTCTTCGTACACTTATTATCAATGGAAGTGAATAATAATTTCCGTAAGAACATTGAATGTGTCTGAAAGAAAAATCGTCGTGAGAGTCATTAAACTTGAGTTTGTTTGCCAAACCGTAGTATCGTTTGTCTGAATTTTTTTTCTTACGCGCTCTCTAATTGACATGTGTCAGATTGTGACATGTACTTGTTAAAAAAAAAAAAGTTTGTACGGAAGCCTTCTGAATCACCTTTATCTGTTACATAAATAAAAAATTTTCAGTGAAACCTCTCTGTTTAATTTGCATTACCTCTCTTTCTACTGTCATTTACTTACTAAAAAATTGTTCAGTTTAAAGAGGACCTTGCCATTATTACAGCCTAAATCATTCGGGTTCTTTTGCAAGTATTTCGTTCAGTCTTAGAAAAATACAAAAATGCTATCCACCAGCCTAGGTCGGTCCGTATTGCAAAAAAACGTGCCGAGGGTGGTAGTAAAGACCTCGGGCACAGTTTTTCCCAATACGGACCTCTCAGCTGGCGAATAACATTCATTTATTCATCACTTCATGGGTTTGTTCGGAACCAAAATAACGACAAGCTCCCAGTTTGCCTGTAAGCTCAGTTGGTAGAGCATTGCATCGTTATCGCAGAGGTCATGGGTTCAAATTCCCGTGCAGTTTTTTAGGCCTTATTTCCACTACTGCTTAAGTAGTGTTCATTAGCACAAAGATCGCTTTCATATTCACGATGTCAACATTACGATGAATTATCATCTTTACGCCGAAGGCGATTTATAGCATTTTTTACCTTGAAGCAACCAATCCCAGAAGTTTATTTTCAATCATCTTATCAAAACAGAAAATTTGTCACTTCTTTTATGGAGAGTTTCTTTGAACTCCATTTTATTGAGATTGATTCCTTGATTAAATATGAGGCAAACGTTAAAAAGCCGCCATTTTTAAATTCGTGTTCGTTCTTGTTAACTCCTCGAAAAAATGAGTCATTCGAAGTGTTTCTTTGTAAGGCAATAAAACCGACGGAAAGAAAAGTTTGGTTAGGATAAAAACCCTCACAACCCTTTATAATTTTATCTGCTTTAAGAGCATGTCAGCTAAGTAGAAACCCCAAATGTTGAAAACTAACTGCCGGGGGATAATGATCGATGTGCAAAGTTCCCGCCAAAACAGCTTGGCTCTTCTGTAAAATCTGCGAAAAGGACCATTTATTTGATCATAATTATGTTTTATCCAAA